AAAGAAACACAAACATCTAAGCCAGGAGGAATTGTTCAGGTGATTGATGATGGAAGAAAAAAAAGAAAGAAAGAAAAATAGAAGCAATTAGCAACATTTCAGAAAATGATATGGTGGTACACTATTGCTGATTGGGAGGAAATCAATATTCACTACTATTTGGGAAACCACCTCACCAAAGAAAATGCTATTTATCTCAGTTTTGATGACTGTAAATCCATTCTGTTGAAGGAAATTAAGGTAAACTGTTAGAGTGGTGTGCTGAATTTTCTCATCTGTTAAAGTGGCAGAAGAAAAGAGGCAGATATGAGGGCTAGGATGCCATGTTTGGCCTCCAGAAGGAATCCAGGTTCAAACGCTGCAACTGAATTTGAGTGGACTGATGGTGGTGAAAAAAAATATTTGGGCAAATAATTGATTATGTTTTCTAATGAAGTGAAAGCAAGAACTCAGATTGGTATGTGTGCACCTATGTTCATAGTAGCATTATTCACAGTGGCCAAATGGTGGAAATGACCCAGGTATCCATTGACAGATAAATGGATAAACAAAATGTTGTGGCTAGGTGTGGTAGCTCTTGACTGTAATCCCATCCCTGCTTAAAAGCACAAGGGCAGTATCAGAGGGTTGCAATAGGAGAGGTGGAGTGAGTCTGTGGTAGAAGTTATGAGGGTTTTTCTGAGACTCATTAGAGAGCAGGAAGGTTTTTTTCTGTTTTTTTTTTTTTTTTATATGCTTTATAGTCTCTTTAACTGTAGCTGAATGTGTAATTGAAATTAATAGATGTGATGAACAGGCTCAAATGTCAGGCAAATTTATTCTCTACCCAATTTCAGTTGGTTATTTAAATAGGTATCTTTAGAATTGTCCAAACTCATTCTAATAGTAAATATTAAGCAGTACCAAATTATGGAGGTCAAAAAAAATTGGCTTTATTGAAAAAATCAATGATGCAAGTACTCATATGCACCAGATTTCATTGAGAACCTGGTGGATTCTGGAGACTAAATGTTGACTAATGACTTGAACAAAGTACTTTCATTGATGGCTCTACCAAGGTAGATGTGACTTTCCCTACTCAAGAAATCCAATAGCTCAAAAATGACTTCGATACTTTCAGATACTTGGCCACTAAGCCCCATTAATAAGAAATAATCACAATGCCTTATGAAACTATTTGCATTTTGAAGGACACATATATTTTGCCTGGGTATCTCCTTATCTATTATACAGCAACTGACCAAAGGCAAATATAAATTTAAATAAGGCCCAAAATAACAATTATTACAGAAGGCTGGCTGCAGCTCAAGCACTACTATTAAAAACAGATACTTTTCATAATGATGAACAATGAGAAACAAGTTCTGCGCCCCTTATTTGGCATCTGCATGTCTTTTGGCTCATTTATTAATTTAGTTGCTTGTTTTCTTATTGCTGAATTTGGAGATCTATTTATATATTCTGGATTTAAGTCTTTTATCAGATAAATAGTTTACAAATATTTTCTTTCACCAGCGGATTTCTATTTTCAAACTCCTACTGGTTTTTTGAAGAGCAGAATGTTTTATTTTGATAAAGTCCAATTTATCAACCTGAGTATTTATGGTTCATAATTTTGATTTAGCCCACAAAGCCAGACAGATTTCCTCACATGCTTCCAAAAGTTTAATATTTTTATGTCTTGCATTTATATCTCTGACTAATTTTCAGGTCTGAAATATGTATTTAGGTTATTTACTAATTGTAAATGAAAGTTCAATATTTTTCAGTATCATTTGTTAAAAAACACTGCTTTTTTTGGAATCAGTTGCCTTTGCCGATTAGTCAATAACAGCTGAATATATTTTTGTAGGTCTATTTCTGGAATTTCTATTGTGAGCCATTTACCTATATGTGCCTATTATTTTGTCAATATCATCTTGTCTTGATTACTGTAGCTTTATATTAATTACTGAAACTGAACATTTTGAACCTGTCAATTGTTTGAAGATATATTCTGTCAATTCTATTTAATTTGCCTTTTGAACACATGTTAGAATCAGCTCATCAACATATGTAAAAAGACGAGAGATTGTTTTACTGGGGTAGTGACGTCACTAGATCAAATTGGGTAGAGTAGATCTCTTAACAATATTGGGTCTTCCAGTCCATGAATGTAGTACAGGTCTCCATTTATTTACGTATCTACTTAATCCTTTCAACAGTATTTTGTAGTTTTCAGTGTAGAGATCCTGGGCATATTTTTGTTAGACTTAAACTTCTCTCTCTTGCTCTCCCACGTTAATGTGCACATATGTACGTTTAAATTTCAAAATCAAATTGTTCATAGTTCCACATAAAAGCATTATTGACTTTGTATATTGACATTTTATTGATGACCTTGCTAAATTCACTTATCAGTTCTAGAAATTCCTACTGGATTTTTTTTAGTATTTTCTATATAGATAACAATACCAAAGATTTCTGTGTTCTTTCTTGCCAGTCTGCATCCATTTTAGTTATTTTCTTGCCTTATTATCTTTTCTAGGTTTTCCATCAAGGTATTGAATAGAAACGGCGAGAAGAAACATCTGGCCTCCATCTCTAGTCATAAGGAGACAACATTTAGCCTCTTACTAATAGGTTAATGCCATCTGTAGATTTACTTGTAGGCATAATATATTAAGTTAATATTTTTCCAACTATTGTTTCTAAATCAATGAGATGACAGTATTCAAGCATCTCTTTATAATTGTAAACTTCTCAATTCTTCTTTTCATATCTATCAGTTTCTTCTACTTGTATTTGAAGTTGTATTTTGGGTGCACTTCCATTTAGTATTTTAATGTTTTCTTTAAAATTTCTTTAACATTGTGTATTATCACTTTTTATTTGTGAATATATTCCTTGTTCAAAAATCTACTTTTTATAATATTAATATAGCTACTACAGCACTTGTGTGTGTAGCCCTATTTATGCCTGCATGATAGATTTCCCTTCACCTTTTTTTTTTTTTCTATCTGGGATTTTAGAGATGGCATTTTTTTTTTTTTATTGTACTTTAGGTTCTAGGGTACATGTGCAGATGATGCAGGGTTATTGCATAGGTAGTTACATGGCAAGGTGGTTTGCTGCAACCATCCCACGTCACCTATATCTGGCATTTCTCCCCATGTTATCACTCCCCAACCTTTCCACCCCCCGCTGTTCCACCCTAGTCCCCCCAACAGAACCCAGTGTGTGATGTTCCCCTCCCTGTGTCCATGTGTTCTCATTGTTCAACATCCATCTATGAGTGAGAACATGTGGTGTTTGATTTTCTGTTCTTGCATCAGTTTGCTGAGAATGATGGTTTCCAGATTCATCCATGTCCCTACACAGGACACAAACTCATCATTTCTTATGGCTACATAGTATTTATTGCATGGTGTATATGTGCCACATTTTCCTTGTCCAGTTTATCATTGATAGGCATTTGGGTTGGTTCCAGGTCTTTGCTATTGTAAACAGCGCTTCAATCGACACACGTGTGCTTGTGTCTTTATAATAGAACGATTTGTAATCCTTTGGATATATACCCAGTAATGGGATTGCTGGATCAAACGGAATTTCTATTTCTAGGTCCTTGAGGAATCACTACACTGTCTTCCACAATGGCTGAAATAATTTACACTCCCACCAACAGTGTAAAAGTCTTCCTATTTCTCCACATCCTCTCCAGAATCTGTTGTCTCCATATTTTTTGATGATCAGCATTCTAACTGGCTTGAGGTGGTATCTCAATGTGGTTTTGATTTGCATTTCTCTAATGACCAGTGATGATGAGCATTTTTTCATATGGTTCCTGGCCTTATATATGTCTTCTTTTGAAAAGTGTCTGTTCACATCCTTCACCCACTTTTGAATGGAGTTGTTTACTTTTTTCTTGTAAATCTGTTTTAGTTCTTTGTAGATTCTGGATATTAGCCCTTTTCAGATGGGTAGCTTGCAAAACTTTTTCCCATTCTGTTGGTTGCTAGTTCACTGTAATGATTGTTTCTTTTGCTGTACAGAAGCTCTGGGGTTTAATTAGATCCCATTTGTCTATTTGGCTTTTGTTGCCAATGGTTTTGGTGTTTAATCATGAAGTCCTTGCCTATGCCTATGTCCTGAATGGTTTTGCCTAGGCTTTCTTCTAGTGTTTTTATGGTGTTATGTCTTATGTTTAAGTCTTTAATTAGTCCTTCTGGAGTTAATTTTAGTGTAAGGTGTCAGGGGTGCAGTTTCTGCTTTCTGCACATGGCTAGCCAGTTTTCCCAACACCATTTATTAAACATGGAATCCTTCCCCATTTCTTGTTTTTGTAAGCTTTGTCAAAGATCAGATAGTTGTAGATGTGTGGCATTACCTCTGAGGCCCCTGTTCTGTTCCATTGATTTATAGCTCTGATTTGGTACCAGTATCATGCTGTTTTGGTTACTGTAGACTTGTAGTATAGTTTGAAGTCAGGTAGTGTGATGCCTCCCACTTTGTTCTTTTTGCTTAGGATGGTCTTGACTATGCAGGCTCTCTTTTGGTTCCATATGAAGTTTAAAGTGGTTTTTTCAATTCTGTGAAGAAGCTCATTGGTAGCTTGATGAGGATAGCATTGAATCTGTAAATTACTTTGGGCAGTATGGCCATTTTCACAATATCGATTCCTCCTAACCATGAACATGGAATGTTTTTCCATCTGTTTGTGTCCAGAGATAGTATCTTGTAGGTTTCCCATGCATGATCTAGTTGACTTAAAAATCTATAGTCTCTTGGATTGTTTTCTATTTGTTTCATTTGCCTTTTCTTTCTTTTTTTTCATAATTGTTATTCTTTTCCTTTAAATAATTTATACCTTCATATATACAGAGTATTTCTTGTGGGCAAATTATAGATGGGTCTTATTTTTTAATTCCATCTTCAGTCTGCCTTTTAACTGGGTACATAAACCATTCAAAACTAATGTAATTATTGACAAGGTTACGATTACATGTATTGTCTTCACCATGTATTTTCCCATTTGTTTCCATTTTCCTCTTTTGCTGCTTTCTTTTCTTATTTGGTACTCTATTGTTGTGAATTATAGGTGCCCTGTGCTTTCCAGACCTTGAGTCAGAGAGTCTGCTGAGCAGTCATCAAGGGTCCCCTTCCCTGAATCATGGCATGGAACTCTTTTAAGGTGGGAAAAATTAAGGGTTCACCTTGTTTTTCATTTCTCAGAGTTGTTTTTTATTGCTTTTATACCTAGTGCCTTGAAAATTGTTTTTTCTTGTCATCTTTTTGTTGCTGTTGAAATTCAATCCTTTTTATAACATCTTGGCTATATGCAGAACTATCTACCTTGGTTCTAAGAGCTTAGTCACCTGTCAATTTTAGAATGACAGATGACAAAACCCCTTCTCCATCAGTCAGACTCATATATCTACCTGCCTACTTAATATCTCCAATTGAATGCCCAAAAGATTTTCAAACTCAACAGGTGATTTTGATTCCTAGTCTCATTTTCTTTTATACATTTTTTATTATACTTTAAGTTCTGGGGTACATGTGCAGATCTTGCAGAATTGTTACATGGGTATACGTATGCCATGGTGGTTTGCTGCCTCCATCACCCCGTCACCTACATGAGGTATTCCTTTTCTTTAATTAGACCCTTCCACATCTTAGTCAATGTCAATTTCATTCTTAGAGTTGTTCCAGTCAAAACTTAAACATTATTCTTGACACCTTTCTTTCCCTTATATATCATCACATCTGTTGGAAAATCATGCTGCTCTGCCTTCAAAATCTATCAAGAGTGTAACTACTTCCATTGTGTTCATGCCACTACCAACTCCTTGGATTACACTGAGGGTGTCTTACCTGTCTCCCTGCCTAAGTTCTTGAACTCCAAAAATATGTTCTCAACACCCTAGCCAAGGAGCCCTTTACACTAAACTCAGTAGAATAGGACATTGATGACTCAGAATAGTGGCTCTGGAGAAATTATCCATGGTTATAAAGTTGTGTATAAAATAATAAGATAATAAATAATAAGATTCATGAATTTGAATTTCAGAGGGAGTCAACAGAAATATTAGGCAATATTTAAGTAATATTGGGGTATTTTTCAGAATCGATAAAAGTCATATGCTTAGCTGCATAAATAAAATCACTAGGTAAGAAAAAATAAGTCTAAGAACATTATATTTAAATAGTAGAAAAGCAACTACGGAGGTAAAAATCTTAAAATAAATACATTTAAAATAAATGATCACAAAGGAAATTGTTCAGTGAATTCTCTCTTAACAGGAATCTGCGGAAATAGACTGCAATTCTCAAAATGCTGAGAGAAAAACATATCACTCATTCATTTGCTTGAACATATATATATAGAGCACAATATATTCATTGTAATTTTTTTTCTTGCCAGTACCAGAAACATTTATTTGGAAGAGCTAAGAATGAAAATCAATGAAAGGGAGAGAGAGTGAGAGAGGGCCAGAGAACTGCAGACTTGCATAGAATCTCTCTGTTCTCTGCATTTATACAGGCTACCAATGGCTTAATACCCAACAATCTACCATGTGGATATTGAACACAGAAAGGCAATTTACTCCCTGTATGCAGCTAATAAATGTAGGCCGCCAAGTTTGTAAGAATTTCCATTCTTCCTGCAGATTATGTCAAAGTGCACAGTATCAGAGCTTGTGGTAATCACTGTGCCCTGTTGAGTTTCACCACAGACATACAAAACCAGGGCTTCTTTTATTATGCCAGGTTCTAGGCGTTGCTACTGGTTGATAAACAGCTCAATGATGTACCAATTTTTTTTGCCACCACCATTTTTATAAAAATTGCTGAGCTTCATAGTTATGAATGAGACAACTTTCAATTTTCTTCACTAAAAAATAAAAATCCTGCTTACATTGTTTGAGCCATTTTGGTGAAAAACTGAAAATGGAAAATCACACACATACTGGCTTAGCTCAACAGCTTGCTGCTGTCACATTGTCATAGCTAATGCTATCAAGGCTCTTAAAGTTATTTTGTTCTGCATTAAATCCATAATCTTTTTTGTTCTTCAGTGCTAAAGTGTAATTAACATTTTACCCTTTCATAATTTATCTGATCTCATATTTTGGCAAGCATTTTAAATTCATTACATAGTATACATATAATTATAAATAGACAACATATTATATAATTATATAAACAAATGATGTGTTATGCAATTATATACATAAATTATTAAAATAATTATATAATTTACCATTGTTGGTCCTGAGACCAGGTGATATGCTCTGCCATTTCTATTTGAATTTTAGGAAAGATATGGTAAGAGAGTTTATTTATTTGGGCTGGTGAGTGAGATAGTGGTGATGATTGATTTTTTAAAAATTCCTTCTGGCAGTCATATACAATTTGTTACTGACAGATTGAACTAAGTCTCCTGAGGGATGGGGCTTCTTGGTAATTAAAACATGTTTTCAAGTCTGTTAAAGTCCTCCTCTTTTCCCATCTTCTCCATCCCATTCCTGTGTTCTTAACTATGTAATAATCTGCCTCCAAAAGTTTTAAACAATGAAGACTCTGAAAGTGTACAGGAAATTTTTTTTCTAATATGAATTTGAGAGAGCAAAGGGTCTTGTGGCTTTCTCAAATGACCAATGATTCTCACAGCATAAATAAACATTATCCCTTCCTATCATTGCAAACACACCAAGGTTCTGATACACAAATCCTTCCATGCTTGTCTGAAAATTACCTATTGCAATTTTGACCTGGGAGAGTCCATTTCCCTTCTGATTCAATCCACTTAGGTAGTGCAATAAAGGAAATTGGACAGCCCATATTTCAGCACTGAGTGTCATGGTATATTTCCACTGACGAAATGAAATCGGTTTGTTCTCACCAGGGCTTCCACATTTCACAACATAATAAAAAGTTACCTTAGCTGACAAGGTGGTATGGGCTTTCAGAGTTTGATGGACCAATTATTTGTTGAATTCAATCATGTTTGATTAATGAGCAATTCTAAGGCAATTCTACTTAATTTTATTTTACTCTTTAAAGATATAGATATAAATTATATGATGTAGATACAGATGTAGATACACATAGACATGTATAATATTATAAATTATGTACATACCTGCAGAATTTTAAATCTGTTAAATAATAAGTCTATTTAAGGTCACTGGTACTGTATTTGTCTCTTCTTGTTGTTTAAAATTACTTCCTAGAGGCCATCTAAAATAAACCCTAGAAAAATTTCGACTATTATTTCAAAAATATAGAAAACATCTCTGTCTACCAAAATGCACACATTCTGCAGACTACTGCATGAACTATTGATACTTTTTCCCATAAAGTATCAATTCAAATGTATACAATAAATGTACAGTGAATATTTTATATATAATGATTTACATTGGATGCCTTAAGAAATTTTTTAAATAAGTAAGCTATAGCCTCATATTTTACGGTTTAAGGTGTAACATAAGTGACTAAATACAAAGCAAAATGTGAAAAACTCAGATGTTCAGTCCATTTATTCACAAGTGAGCACAGAAAAGAACATTGTCACCTCTTTTACGGAGTAGTTATGAAAGAGGTCATATAGAAAGTGTAATGCAGATGAACTTTTAGATGTGGTCAATGCTAGCTATTATTATTACTTTTGTTATTATTATTACAGTAGAGACCCACAGCAGTACAGATTTTGTCATGAGACCAGAAAACAGATTGAGCAGAAAAATTTTAGGAGGGTTGAGGCAATTTACTGAGTCCCTAGGCCATTTGGATTACATATGACACATACATAAATATGCAGGGGAAAGAGGTAGAAGAAGCTGAAAGTATAACATAGAAAATACTTAATATCTTGTAGGTTTAGCTAAGCATTATGAACTCTTAATGATTCATAAACTGAGGAGCTAAGTTATCTAAGTAGTGCATTAGGAAGTTTTAACAGGGCTGTGTAAGGCAGATTCCAGCAGGAAAGCTAAAAAATGGAGAGACCAATGTGGAAGTCACTCTTAACAGTTCAAAGTTGATGGTCTCCATGGTAAGAAGACTTATGCTGCCTCCTGCCCATTCCTTCAGCCTCATGTCTTTCTCCTCATTCTCCTGTCTCTCCATTCCCTATAATGAATGCAAACCTTCTTCCAGTCCTCACACTGTTTGTGCTGTCTCATGTATCCAGGCCTTTGAGTGTTCACACCTGAGACCAGACACAAGTGAACTCATCTGTCTGTTTCCAGAAGACTTTGCTAACTCCTGGAAGCTCATCAAGGGCTGAGCCACATGCCAGGTGCAGTGGCTCACACCTGCAGTTCCAGCATTTTTGGGCACCGAGGTGGGAGGATTGCTTGAGCCCAGGAGTTCAAGACCAGCCTGGACAACAAAGAAAAACTGCATCTCTACAAAAAATACAAAAATTTGCAGTGTGTGGTTGTTTGCATCTGCAGTTCAGGGACTTGGGAGGCTGACGAGGGAGGATCACTTTAGTCCAGGAGGTTGAGGCGGCAGTGAGATGTAAGTGCGCCACTGCATTTCAGCCTAGGCAACAAAATGAGACCATGACTTAAAAAATAAATAAATAAATAAATAAATACAAAACTGTAGTATTTTAATATTATTTTGGCCCCTCAATAGAGAACCTACCACTGATCACAAATTCAACCTTTCAATTTAAATGAATAAAAGACCTTGAATGAATGAGATTTGAGAGATATCCTGGTGTTGGCATCTCAGTAGATCATGAGAGAAGATACCTATTGAGCAGGCAGAAATGCAGCCCTAGATTTCGAATAAACTGAGGATAAAATTAAGGCAATGTCCTCGCAGAGGAGTGATTCAAAGCTGTGTGAGGGCGTGGGCTAGGCAAGAGAAAGAGTGTACACACTGAGGAATCGTGCCATGTGCTAATGGTTTATGTTCCCGGATTTTCCATCATCAAGCTTCTATCTATAATTTATTCAAAATTTGTGTATAAGCTTCTTTGCATCCATCTTAAATTATACATTTTCTCAAGGTACTGTGTGAAAGCAGCTACTATCCTGCAAACACCTAAGAACTCCTCCCCTGAGGAGAGTATCACCCTGCTGTGTCTGTCACCGAAAGCCTGTTTAATCAACTCTAAAATATTCCTGTCTGTGGCTACTTGTGAAGTAAAAAAGTCAATTCATTTGGCACAGTTGATCCATATTTTACTTTCTTTTCATTAGTCAGCATTAGAAATATTACTTCTGGTTGCCAAAGCCTTCATTCAGAATTGGCGTCTTGATCAAGTTGATCCTACCAGGAGCATCATCAGAACTATCAGTCATTGGTATTTCTGCAACAGTGTGCCTGTTGGAAATACGTTACAAGCAGGATTTAAAAGATTATGCTCGAGAGTAGTATTGCTACACCCTAGAGACACAGAATAGCTGCTATTTTAAATTAAGAAAGATTGTAGGAAATGAAAAATGAAAATGAAGACAGTACAATTCCTATAAAAGGTTTGTTACAGGCAGTATGATCACTTAATTATATTTTTGGTGTGAAATCTAAGTACCATTTTGTAAATCGTGTAAAGACAACTTTCAGGATTAACTTCAGTTTCCACAAGGAAATTTGTTAAATATAACAAAGATTTGCAGAAGTACCCACAACCTGGGAATCACACTTAAATTTTTGAAAAGTTTCAGAAATTATATTCTAATGTTGGAAGATCTTTTATAAAAATGCCTAAGAATGATCAAAGTGTGAATACCTCCATTTAAGAGATTTCAGTGTAACTACACAATCTAGACTATGATGTTTTCATTAAGTGGGCATATCTTTAGAAGATTCATGTTAAATTGACCTTACTGCAATGCAATCTGTCAGCTCTCACTAGTGTAGCAAATTGAGATAATTTTCCTGTGCTTCAGTTTAACAGATTTCAGATTCCTGTAGTTTCTGTTAACAGGACAGTGACTCTGGGAAGCAGCTGGTAGGAGAGAAGGAGGTTGCTTTACCATTTGGTGAGAAACAAAGCCATGTGGCTTTTAAATTCATTACAATTCATTTAAAATGTAACAATGGAAGGAAATTACATTCCTGAGTGAAAAATAAGGTAGTATAGAATTATATGCACAAAAAACATGTCGTGTTCTTTCATTCATTCTTTCCACTGAGTATTGAGTGCCAACATTCCAAGTTTGTACCAGTGTAAATAGACAAGAAGAAACATTAAAAGCGTTAAGAGGACAGTGACTAAAAGAGTAATAACATTTAGAGTAAATAGCAAAATATTCTGTTTTGTTTTTGTACGTCGGGTGTTTGTATATGGTTATGAAGAAAGAAAATGAAAATCGGATTAAAGGAAAAGGCATTTCATTGGGGAATCACTGCATATGCAAAATAGTGGGAGTAGAAATGACCCAGTTTTGCATAAAATCAACATTAGTTTTTAGTATTTACAAAAGCAGGTTTATGTTATTCAAATGAGTTTATATTCTTAAGTATTTCAGTGATTATTCACATTGGATTTTTTTTTCTTGGCAAAGAACAAAAAAATTACATAAGGAGATTGGCTTTGCACATTTTTGAATAAATTCTCTATTGAAACATGCATGTCACACTGTGACTGTTATAAGAAAGCCTCAACTAGATGCTAATGATCTTCCACAAATATTCTGCAAAGCCCTATTATGTGAATCACTTAGGAGGAATTTCTTTTTTAAAAAAATATATTTATTATACTTTAAGTTCTGGGGTACATGTGCAGATTGTGCAGGTTGTTACAAAGGTATACATGTGCCGTGGTGGTGGTTTGCTGCATCCATTGCCGGGTTATCCACATTAGGTATTTATCCTAATGCTATTCCTCCCCAACCTCCCCATCCCCTGCTATTCCTCCCCTAGCCCCCCACCCTCCAAGCCCCGGTGTGTGATGTTTCCCTCCCTGTGTCCATGTGTTCTCATCGTTCAACATCCATTTATGAGTGAGAGAATGCAGTGTTTGGTTTTCTGTTCTTGTGTCAGTTTGCTGAGAATGATGGTTTCCAATTTCATCCATGTCCCTACAAAAGACATGAATTCATTGCTTTTTATGGCTGCATAGTATTCCATGGTGTATATGTGCCACATTTTCTTTATCCAGTCTATTATTAATCGACATTTGGGTTGGTTCCAAGTCTTCGCTATTGTGAAGAGTGCCACAGTAAATATACGTGTGCATATGTCTTTATAAAAAATTATTTATAGTCCTTTGGGTATATACCTAGTAATGGGATTGCTGGGCCAATAGTATTTCTATTTCTAGATCCTTGAGCAATTGCCACACTGTGTTCAACAATGGCTGAATTAATTTACACTCCCAGCAACAGTGTAAAAGCATTCCTATTTCTCCACATCCCCTTCATTGTCTGATTTTTTAATAATTGCTATTCTAGCTGGCATGAGGTGGTATCTCACTGTGGTTTGGATTTGCATCTCTAATGACCAGCGATGATGAGCTTTTTTTCATGTTTGTTGGCCACATAAATGTCTTCTTTTGAAAAGTGCCTGTTCATATACTTTGCCCACTTTTTGATGGAGTTGTTTGTTTTTATTCTCGTAAATTCATTTAAGTTATCTAACTTAACAAATTAGCCCTTTGTAGAATGGGTAGATTGAAATATTTTTTCCAATTCTATTGGTTGGCAGTTCATTCTAATGACAGTTTGTTTAGCTGTGCAGAGGCTCTTGAGTTTAATTAGATCCCATTTGTCTATTTTGGCTTTTGTTGCCATTGCTTTTGGTGTTTTAGTCATGAAGTCCTTTGCCAATGCCTATGTCCTGAATGGTATTGCCTAAGTTTTCTTCTAGAGTTTTTATGGTGTTAGGCCTCATGTTTAAATCTTTAATCCATCTAGAGTTAATTTTTGTAGAGGTGTAAGGAAGGGATCCAGTTTCAGCTTTCTGCATATGGCTAGCCAGTTTTCCCAACACCATTTATTAAGTAGGGAATCCTTTCCCCATTGCTTGTTTTTGTCAGGTTTGTCAAAGATCAGATGGTTGTAGTTGTGTTGCATTCTTTCTGAGGTCTCTGTTCTGTTCCATTGGTCTAGATCTCTGTTTTGGTACTGGTACCATGCTGTCACCACTCCCATTCGACATAGTATTGGCAGTTCTGGCTAGGGCCATCAGGCAAGAGAAAGAAATAAAGGGCATTCCAATAGGAAAAGAGGATGTCCAATTGCCCCTGTTTGCAGATGACATGATTGCATATTTAGAAGACCCCACCATCTCAGCCCAAAATCTCCTTAAGCTGATAAACAACTTCAGCAAAGTCTCTGGGTACAAAATCAATGTGGAAAAATTGTAAGCACTCCCATACACCAATAATAGACAAACAGAGAGCCAAATCATGAGTGAATTCCCATTCACAATTGCTACAAAGGGAATAAAATACCTAGAAATACAATTAACAAGGGATATGAAAGACGTCTTCAAGGAGAACTACAAACCAATGCTCAAGGAAATAAGAGAGGACACAAACAGATGGAAAAACATTCCATGCTCATCGTTAGGAAGAATCAATATTGTGAAAATGGCCATACTGCCCAAATTAATTTATAGATTCAATGCTCTCACCATCAAACTTCCTTCACAGAATCGGAAAAAAACACCTTAAACTTCATATGGAACCAAAACAGAAAAAAAAAGGCCCGCATAGAGAAGATAATCCTAAGCCAAAAAAAAAAAAAAAAGCTAGAGGCACCACACTACCTGACGTAGGAGGAATTTCTAGAAGAAATTAAGAGTAAGAGCATTGTGACAGAAGAAAAATTAGCTAATGAAAAGAAAGCAAAAGGAAGCAGATGACTTTGCACCTGTGTGTCTGAGCTGACCCATAACTAAGGATTAGTTCTTTGTTTCTCATGAATAGATACTAAGGTTCCCATCCACCTAATTCCCATGCTATAAATATGGACAAATGCCTACTGAGGTAATAGTGGTCATGATTACTAATACTGACTTAGTGGTCTAATTATTATTAACATTGATTTAACAACTTAGTTGTTGACAATCTGGTTTAGTAATGAGTGAAAAAAATTAAATGCAAGATCAAGTTAGTTTTAGATTAGCCAAATTATCTAAAATATGAAGTGCTATAAAATTGGGTATACATAATTTTACTACAGTGATAATTTCAATGACAGAAATATAATTTCACCTGTTTTGAAGTCCTCATAGATTTCAGTGTGGTCAAACAGGCTCTGTTTAGGGATACAAGCATACATGCACATGTAGATATAGGTATAGATATAGATTGATTTATATAGATTTATATATATTATGTTTTGTAGCTGTTAAGTCTGTGGACATTTAGCTGGTTTACAGTATACAGGCTTTGGGACTAATCTAAGTAAAAATTAGAAAAAAATATTATATCTGTAATGTAAGCTTGGCAAATAGTTACATTAACTCAAAATACAGTCTATATAGAGGTTAAAACATATTTACTTCCAAAGCATACATTTTCTTTTATTTACCTTGCAGATGTGGCTGATATTTTGTTGACTTCACATTAGTTTTTGCTTTTTTATTTGAGCACCTTTCATATGAGCATATAATTTCCAATTCCTAAGCCTGATGATTCCATA